TTCATGTTATATTTTTTAAGTTTTATATATATCAAATAGATTTTAAAAAGACAATTCTTAAAGAATACTCTGAAAAAGCAGGGATTTACCCTACCAGAAATTTAAAAACAATTTTAAAATATATTAAAATAATAATATTGCTGTCCAGTAACAAATAAATCAATGTTACAGAAAATAAAGTACATATGGAAACTTGGTGCTGTACAGATTTTAAATCTATAGGGAAGATTGAGTATTCAATAAATGGTGTGTGGGCAACCAGCAAGTCTTTGAGGAAAAAAAAATCAACCTAGACTCTTCCCTTTCTCCTCATAAATAAATTTTAGATGGATTAAAAATGGAAAAATTTCTCTTTTTTTTCTAAGATTTTATTTATTTATTTGACAGAGAGACACAGCGAGAGAGGGAACACAAGCAGGGGGAGTGGGAGAGGGAGAAGCAGGCTTCCCGCCCAGCAGGGAGCCCAATGCGGGGCTCAATCCCAGGACCCTGGGATCATGACCTGAGCTGAAGGCAGACGCTTAACGACTGAGCCACCCAGGTGCCCTCAAAATGGAAAAATTTCTTAAAAGATAACAAAAATGCTAGAAGAATACACAGATAAATATGACATCAAAGCTAGAAACAAAGGAAAAGACTAACAGATATGCCTACATAAAAATGAGAAACTTTCCAACAAAAATCCCATCTCCTTGGGGTGCCTGGGTGGCTCAGTTGGTTAAGCGTCTGCCTTCAGCTCAGGTCATGATCTCAGGGTCCTGGGATTGAGCCCTGAGTCGGGCTCCCTGCTCAGGGGGGAGTCTGCTTCTCCCTCTCCCTCTGACCCTCCTCCCCACTTGTGCTCTCTCTCTCTGTTAAATAAATAAATAAAATCTTTAAAAAAAAAAAAATCCGGGCGCCTGGGTGGCTCAGTTGGTTAAGCGACTGCCTTCGGCTCAGGTCATGATCCTGGAGTCCCGGAATCGAGTCCCGCATCGGGCTCCCTGCTCGGCAGGGAGCCTGCTTCTCCCTCTGACCCTCCCCCCTCTCATGTGCTCTCTCTCTCTCAAATAAATAAGTAAAATCTTTAAAAAAAAAAAAAATCCGATCACCTTAAACTTCTACTTATTTTACTTCCTTATGGGTTCTGATTCTGATTAATTCTCCATAAACTGAGTTTTTACATAGTACAAAATTGTGCATAATTTTATGGTATACACTTTATATAACCTTACCACATATTTTTTCTTGTACTCCTAGTTAACTTTATATTTAGCCTACAAATCATGTCAGGAGAGTCCATTCTCCTCCACTCCACTTCCCTCTCCCTCTTTTAAATAACTTTCTTTGAAAGTTATGACCAGGGATGCCTGGGTGGCTCATCTAGTTAAGCGTCTGCCTTTGGCTCAGGTCATGATCCCAGGGTCCCAGGATTGGGTCCTGCATCAGGCTCCTTGCTCAGCGGGGAGCTTGTTTCTCCCTCTGCCTGCCACTCCCTCAGCTTGTGCTCTCTCTCTCTCTCCTCTCTCTCTGACAAATAAATAAATAAAAGCTTTAAAAAAAAAAAAGAAAGTTATGACCATTTACAGTTGTCCCCTAACAATATAGGAGTTAGGGGCACCAACCCTTCCCAGGTAGAAAATCCACATGTAACTCTTGACTTCCCAAAAACTTTATTATTATTATTTTTAAAAGATTTTATTTATTTATTTGACAGAGAGAGATAGCAAGAGCAGGAACACAAGCAGGGGGAGTGGGAGAGGGAGATGCAGCCTTCCCCCTAAGCAGGAGCCCAATGCTGGGCTTGATCCAGGACCCTGGGATCATGACCTGAGCCAAAGGCAGACGCTTAATGACTGAGCCACCCAGGTGCCCCTATTATTATTTTTTAAGTAGGCTCCATGCCCAATGTGGAGCCCAACACAGGGCCTGAATTCACGACCCTGAGATCAAGACCTGAGCTGAGGTCAAGAGTTGGATGCCTAACCAACTGAGCCACCCAGGCACCCCAAAAAACTTTATTAATAATAAACTAACTGCCCTTACTGACAACATAAACTGTTAACACATATTTTGCATGTTATATGTATTATATACTGTATTCTTACAATAAAGCCAGAGAAAAATATTAACAAAATCATAAGGAAGAGAAAATACATTTACAGTACTGTATTGTATCCCCCCAAAATCCACATATAAGTGGATGGAAGCAGTTCAAATCTGTGTTGTTCAAGGGTCAACTGTACTTTCTCAAGTGAATTTTAGTATCATTTTCTTGAGATCTATATATTTTTTGCATTTAAATTTTTCGGGGTGCCTGGGTGGCTCAGTTGGTTAAGCATCTGCCTTTGGCTCAGGTCATGATCCCAGGGTCCTGGGAGCGAGCCCCACATCCGGCTCTCTGCTCAGCGGGGAGTCTGCTTCTCCCTCTCCCCCTGCTTGTGCTCTCTGTCAAATAAATAATAAATAAAATCTTTAAAAATAAATGAACTTTGAATATACAAATAACTTAGAGATGAATTGTATTCTTTGCTATGTTAGTCCATCTGGCATCATGTTCTTTCTTTTTGTAAGACTTTTTTTTTCCTTCAGCAAATGACCACCACAGGCCATATTAAAAAATGAATTAGGGGTGCCTGGGTGGCTCAGTCGTTAAGCGTCTGCCTTCGGCTCAGGTCATGATTCCAGGGTCCTGGGATCGAGTCCCGCGTCGGGCTCCCTGCTCTGCGGGAGGCCTGCTTCTCCCTCTCCCACTCCCCCTGCTTGTGTTCCTGCTCTCGCTATGTCTCTCTCTGTCAAAAAAATAAATAAAATCTTTAAAAAAAAAAAATAAAAAAAATAAATTAAATAAATAAATAATTAATTAAAAAATGGTAATAATGGGGTGCCTGGGTGGCTCAGTGGGTTAAACGTCTGCCTTCGGCTCAGGTCATGATCCCAGGGTCCTGGGATTGTGCCCCACATTGGGCTCCTAGTTCAGTGGGGAGCCTGATTCTCCCACTACCCCTTCCCCCCACTGCTTGTGCTCTCTCAAGCTGTGTGAAATAAATAAAATCTTTAAAAATATGGTAATAATATTTGTAATTATATTTCAGACAAAGGTTAATATTCCTGATATACAAAAACACTTGTAATATTTAAATGTAAATACTTCAATTTTAAAACAGGAGTAATTTACTGGCAATGCACAAAATAGAGCCAATAAATATATGAATGATGTTTTATACTTAGTCAACAAAATGCAAATTAAAACAAGATGACAAAGATGATAAAAATGTTCAAAAGGTGATAAAGATCTCAAAGCCTGACAGTACTCAAGATTAGCAACAAGATAAGACACAGGTGGAAAAGTAATAAATACATTCCAAGGGGAGAGTCTGGTAACATCATCTAGCATCTTATAGGAGTGCATTCCTTTGATCCAGTAATTATATTTCCATGAAATTATTATAAGGAAATAATCAGGGGCACCTGGGTGGCTCAGTCGTTAAGCACCTGCCTTCCGCTCAGGTCAGGATCCCAGGGTTCTGGGATCGAGCCCCGCATCCGGCTCCTTGCCCAGCAGGAAGCCTGCTTCTCCCTCTCCCACTCCCCCTGCTTGTGTTCCCCCTCTGTCACTCTCTGTCAAAAAAAAAAAAAAAGGGGGGGGGCGCCTGGGTGGCTCAGTTGGTTGGGCGACTGCCTTCGGCTCAGGTCATGATCCTGGAGTCCCGGGATTGAGTCCCACATCGGGCTCCCTGCTCGGCAGGGGGTCTGCTTCTCCCTCTGACCCTCCTCCCTCTCATGCTCTCTGTCTCTCATTCTCTCTCTCTCTCAAATAAATAAATAAATAAAATCTTCAAGAAAAAAAAAATTTAAAAAAAAATTAAAAAAAGGAAATAATCAGGAATATGTACAAGTTTATGTACAAGAATAATCACATAGTGTTTTTTTAATGAGTACTATTATTTTTTAAGTTTTTATTTAAATTCTAGTTAGTTAACATGTAGGGTAATACAGGCTTCAGAAGTAGAATTTAGTGATTCATCACTTACATATAACACCCAGTACAGGGACACCTGGGTGGCTCAGTCAGTTAAGCAGCAGATGCTTGATTTCCCCTCAGGTCATGATCCCAGGGTAGTGAGATCAAGCCCCGCATGGTATTCCGTGCTCAGTGAGCACAGAGCCTGCTTGGGATTTTCTCTCTCCCCCTCCCTCTGCTCCTATCCTGCTTGCATACACACACACTCTCTCTCTCTCAAAATAAATAGTCTTGAACACCCAGTGCTCATCACAGGTGCCCTCCTTAATACCCATCACCCATTTTGCCCATCCTCCACCCACTTCCCTCCCGCAGCCCTCAGTTTGTTCTCTATAGGTAAGAGATAAAATCAGTTTACAGTTTTGTAACTGTAATATTTGTATAATTTGTATAATTACAAATATTACAAGTGTTTTTGTATATCAGGAATATTAACCTTTGTCTGAAATATAATTACAAATATTATTACCATATTTTTAAAGATTTTACCGTGTTCTCTTATGGTTTGCCTCCCTCTCCTTTCCCTCCCTTCTATGTTCATGTTTTGTTTCTTAAATTCCACATGAGTGAAATCATATGGTATTTATCTTTCTCTGATTGACTTACTTAGCATAATACACTCTAACTCCATCCACATCATTGCAAATGGCAAGATTTCATTCTTTTTGATGACATCTAGTATTGTTTGTACACGTGAAAAACTGTAAATACCCTAAAAGTCCAACAATTTAGGGACTGGTTGAACAAATTATATCCATACAACCATTAAATGGCCTTATATCCATACAGTCATTAAAAATGATTATTTAAATTTGCCTGGAAAGCTATGAGACACTATTGCCTTAAAAACAAAAACAAAAACAAAAAACAACACTTTATGTGTATATGTGAAGTTTCCCAAGTTTATATTGAAGGGTGTTAATACTGTTATTTCTGGGTGGTGAGGTTGTGGTGAGTGGTGAGTTCAACTTTCTTTTATAAACATTTACGTACTTACTATCAGTTTTGCTGGGAGCAGGCACTTTTTGAAAGCAGTTTTCTTCTTACAGTCATAAAATACAAAAATACATAAAATACTTTGTGGGGGAAAGCGGGCACTGGGCGAGGACCCACAGCAGCGGGGCACGGTGAAAAGGCTCGCGAACGCTGGAGCCTCGCCTTGCTGCTCCCGGGCAGCACGCAGACCGGAAACACGCCACGCGGGACCTCGGGAATTCTGGGTAGCGCACGGAGGCGCATTACTTCACGAGAACTTATTTGAAAGAAAAACTAATACCGCTTTCCTTTAACACAACATTTGCTATTGACTTAAGCCGGTGTACGGACGTTTCTAACCCGAGAGGCGAGCGGGGGGTGAAAGGGGTTTTCTTGAAAGCGAAAAAGCCTTCCTCACTTCCTACCTTTCCCCCACCACGCGCTTTCCCTCCCTCGGGAGGGGCTTCGAGGGCGTTTCTATGGGCGACGACTGAAGAGGATACAGGAAAGGGAATGCAGGCTAGCAGGCTATTGTATTCGAAAGCCGCCCTTAAAGGAAGACGGACGCGCGCGGAGCTGGGGGCGTAGAGGCGAGGCACGCTCTGATTGGCCCGGCTCCTCAGGCCCGGCGCGCGCCGGCTGGGCGGGCGGGAGCGCGCGCGTGCGCAAAGCCGTAGGCGCGCGCCGACCCGTTTCCCTCACGCCCTTGTGGGGTCTCCTGTCTGGGAACTGGGCGGAGGGAGGGGAGTGGTTCACGCTTGTCCTTGAGTTGGAAGAGCCTTAGTCTTTCTCGCCCCCGTGGTGAGTGGGCTGCAGGAGTCAAGCGAGGTTCCCCTCGAGGCCACTGCAGGCGTGGGACTGCTGAGGAGGAGGAAGGCAAGGCGAGGCCCAGGCTGAAGGGTCGGGTCAGCTACCGGCCGCTGCCTGGGAAGCCAAGGGCAGGGAAGGAGGGAGGGGAGGGACGACAGCACCGAATAATCAATCCTTCGAGGAGCTCTCTTGGACAGCGAAACGGCTAAGAGAGACGGTTAGGTGGAGAGGCCCGACAGATGAACAGGCCCACGCCCCAGTACTCGGGTAGGAACCAGATAGAACTGACTAAGCTTATGTTTGGGTTGAAAGTTGATAACCAATTTTTGAATGATTATCATTCAAAATAAATTATCTTTGGGTTTGAGGTATCAATAGGACATTTAGGTGGAAAGGTTGACATGAACCCTTTTAAGGCAATCTTTGTGAATTACCGTGTAGAAAATAGGTCCCTGATTTGTTACCCTGAGTGGCTCAGTTAGTTAAGTGTCTGTCTACGGCTCAGGTCATGATCTCGGGGTCCTGGGATCCAACCCCTCATGGGGCTCCCTGCTCAGGGGGGAGCCTGCTTCTCCCTTTCCTCCCTGCTCCGTTTGCTCTGGACAGGAACCACACAAAGTTTTGGGGAAATAACACCTCAGCTGGAGGCCTGAAAACCGGGCAAGGTTTGCAGATCAAAGATTTCTAGAATGATGTTAAAAGGGAAAATTAAGAGTTTGCTCATCTATGAAACTCTTAAGGCTTAAGTACCTGTCTTAAACACAAGTTATATAATTACGGTGATGGAAACTGTATGCTAGATTCTATTGATTCTTTGACTATTACAATTTTAAAATTCTTTTAATGTGTAGCTATCAGAGAGCCTTTTACTATTCTTGGAATTTTTTTTTTATTCTTGGATTATTAAATGAAATGAAAATTTTATTTCAAAAATGGCAAAAGTTTGAATATAATTACTTTTTTAAAATTTATTCATTTGAGAGAGGGAGAGAGAGCGAAAGCATGAGCAGGGGGGAGGGGAAGAGGGAGAAAAATGAAAAAGGCCATCAAAATTCTGAAAAGGCTGAGCCGGGGGAGCCTGATGTGGGGCACAATCCCAGGACCCCAGGATCGTGACCTGAGCCCAAGGCAGACGCTTAACCCACTGAGCCACCCAGGCGCCCCAATGAGCAAACATTTCTAATAAGAAAAAAACCAAAGATTCAGTACTGCCCCTTTATCTGCAGGGCACACGTTCAAGACCCCCACTAAATGCCTGAAACTGGCAATGGTACCAAGCCCTATATATACTGTTTTTTTCCTATGCATACATAGCTATGATAAAGTTTAATTTATAAATTAGGCACAGCAAGAGATTAATAAGTAATAAGATAGAACAATTACAAGAATATACTGTAATAAAAGTTACATGAATGTTGGTCTCTCTCAAAATACCTTATTCTGGTACTCACCCTTTTCCTGAGGATGTGAGATGGTAAAATGCCTATGGGATGACATGAAGTGAAGTGAATGATGTTTGTATTGTGATATGGCATTAGGCTAAATTAGACTATTGACCTGACTATACATCAGGAGAAGGATCATCTGCCTTAGGATTGATCTAAGGATTGCCTTGGTAACTGAAATCTCAGAAAGTGAAACTGTGGGTAAGGGAGAACTACTGTATTGAAAAGAAAAGATATCACTTAAGTATTTTATAACCACATAACTGATTTTAAAAGAATTCATAATTTTTAAAACATATTCTACAGAGTGACTTTTAACATGAGAGATCAAACATATTTGTCTTGTTTCCCTATGAAACCCCACTGAAATTGAGAAAATATAAAAACCCACAAGGACTAAGAAAGTGGGAAAGGGAATGAGAGAGTTGGAGTATTCTTAGTGGAAGAAAGAAAGAGGATAAAGAAATTGTTAGAAAAAAACAAACAAAAAGAACTAAGAAAGCTGAATGCAGAGGGGAATGGCAATTAGAAGTGCAGTAATTCATAATTCAGAATTCCAGGAAGTCTCCGTAAAGGAAAATTCTGTTTTCCTCACTCTACTCTCAATACTTTTGACACCAGATGTGGGGGGATTATCCCACATCAATTCTCCAATTTCCAGTGGACACTGACTGGGTGTCCTACAAATTTAACTGAATTATGACACTACCTACCTGGAGACAGCATCAGATCCCAGAGGTTAAAGACTGTGCATCAGACCACAATTGGCAATAAAACCCCCAGGCCCCAAGCAAAGACAAGACTCATGCTTTTACCTTTCTGAGTCTCCAGGATACTCTTGTCTGTATCTCTCTGTCTCTACATACATATCTTCAATAAACTCTGTTTTCATTTCTGCTGGCTCATTTGATTTCCATCCTGCAAGAAGCCAAGGACCCTCTTGGCTAGGCCTGTGGGACCCCCTCTCTAGGTCCTCGGACCAGGCCTGTCTGCATCATTCAGACTCAAATGGAATTTTATCACCAGCTTTCCTATTTCTAAAGCTTGCAGACAGCAGGCGTAGGACTTCTTGCCCTCCATAACCATCTGAGCCAATTCCTACAGTAAATCTCATCTATCTATCATCTACCTATCTATCAACTGTCTTTCCTATTGATTCTGTTTCTCTGGAGAACCCTGACTCAGCCCTCAAGACTACCTCTGCCTCAGATGCCAATTGCAAGTCCAGATTGTTACTTGTACTTCTGACCAAATAGCCATAAATTGGAGTTCCCATGACTCCCTTCTCTAGTTCAGTAATTTGCTAGAACAGCTCACAGAACTTAGGGAAATATTTACTTACGTTTATTGATTTGTTATAAAGGATAACACAACAGCCACATGGAAAGATGAATAGGGCAAAGAAAGGGGGAAGGGGCACAGGATTTCCATGCCCTCTATGCACCACCCTCCCAGCACCTCCATGATGTTCACCAACCCAGAAACTCACCAAATTTCCTTAAGAGTTTTTTTAAAGTTTTTTATTGTTATGTTAATCACCAAACATTAGTTTTTGATGTAGTCCTTAAGAGTTTTTATAGAGCTTAATCTCTAATCCCCCTCTCCCTTTCCTGGAGGTCTGTGGGTGGGGCTGAAAGTCCTAACCCTCTAGTCACTTGGTCTTTCTGGTGACCAGCACCATTCTGAGGCTATCGAGGGGCCCTCCCCCAAATTATTTATTAGCATAAACTCAAGTGTACTCAAAAAAGGAGCCTCTTGGGGGCACCTGGGTGGCTAAGTTGGTTAAGTGTCTGACTCTTGATTTCGGCTCAGGTCATGATCTCAGGGTCATGAGATTGAGCCCCCAAGGTGGGCTGGGCATGGAGCTTGCCTAAGATTCTCTCTCTCTCGTCCCGCATCGGGCTCCCTGCTTGGCAGGGAGCCTGCTTCTGCCTCTGACCCTCCCCCCTCTCATGTGCTCTCTCTCTCTCATTCTCTCTGTCTCAAATAAATAAATAAATAAAAATCTTAAAAAAAAAAAAAAAAAGATTCTCTCTCTCCCAGGGGCACCTGGGTGGCTCAGTTGTTAAGTGTCTGCCTTCAGCTCAGGTCATGATCCTGGGAACCTGGGATCGAATGCTACACCAGGCTCCCTCCTCAGTGGAGAGTCTGCTGCTCCCCCTGCTTGTCCTCTCTCTCTCTCTCTCTGTCAAATAAATAAAATCTTTAAAAAAATTAAAAAAAAAAAAAGATTCTCTCCCTCTGCACCCCCCCCAAAAAAGGGGGGCCTCCTGAATAACAAAAGATACTCCTATCACTCAGGAAATTCCAAAGGTTTTAGGAGCTCTTTGCTAGGAACAGGAGACAAAGACCCAAAAACATGCCTTATTATACTACAGACTCCTAAATTGCAGATGTCACATCAATGGGAGGGTGTGGAAGGAAAGACCAGAGCATTGATTGAAAATCTGTACAGAGTAGTTAGACTTCTAGATCTAGGTCACCATCCTTAGGACAAATAACCAAGCGAGTAGCTTACCCCTAGAACTGGTAGAGTTTGAACCAGAGGAGATTTAGGCACACCAGGTCAAGCAAAAAAAAGATTAAATGAGAAAGTCTATATACTGAGTAGTGAGACCCACCCCAGCCCCTTTCCACTGCTTGCTCTCTGAATCCGCATTTACCTTTTTATCTCATTTGATGCTGGTCCCCCCCTTTTTTCTTCATCTTCATGATATAACTTTCTATCCTGATTTTTCTTTATTTTCTTCACTCTTATTCTGTTTAACTGTGATTGCTTAAGCTGATGTCCTAGGCTTGCTTCTTTCTACCTTTCTATGAGTTCATCCAACAGGCTGTCTGTAACACGGGTTAGGACTCACTTAAATCTGCATCTCTACTGCTAAACTCTAACCAACCTTCAAGTCTCATATTTTCAGACTTTTACTGAATCTATTCCTTTTGGATGCCACATGGGTAAAAAAGTACTCCAAATCAGCTTTGCAGTATCCTGTAGAGGTGGCTTTTGGGCAACAAGCTGGAGTAATGGAAACCTGAGTAAGGTAAAAGGGCTCACAGTGACCACCAAGCTGAATGCAAACAGGCTCATTAAGCGACCCACCTCAAAATAACCATAGGCCCTGACCAAATACAAACAGGCACAGTTCCTAAGATTACCTAAAAAGGGAAAATTCTTTATGTTCCCATACTCTCTCACTCTGCCTTATAACTGCGGCCCCTCACCACCACCTTGTTGCAGACAGTCTCTGCTCTGCTGTCCTGCCCATTGCTCCCT